CCCGGGCTGGCTTTCTGGATTCTCCTCCTCCTCTTCTGAATCTTTTCTCCCTCTGAGGGAAGAACTTTTCCCTCACGCCAGTCTGAGGGAAGGAAACAAACGCCTCTCTCCTCCCAGTTTTCTCAGCTGCCACCTCCTGTCTGGTTGCCTCTTTCTCGTCAGGGCTGCCTATCTTTTACTCTGCCCCTTTATTTGACTTCTGATCTTTGGCTCGGTTTATTCAGCCTATTCCTCACAAGGCCTGGGCTGCAGAGATCCTGGGCAGCCATCTTGTCTTCTCCCTTCTCATGGCTGCTGTCTGATTGGCTGCTGCTGTTGGATTGGCAGCTGGGTTGTCCTGACGATGGGGGAGGGCCAAGGAGGGAGCAGGAGGAAGGCGCACAGGGGCTGATCATCTGCTCAGGCAGTCTGTCCTTCTGCAAGCAGGTGGTGTCAACTTTCAAGCCTTGATATTTTAAATTCTAACCAATCACTGAATTTCTATTCAGGATTGAGAAGACTCAGTGTGCCTGTTGTGAATTTGTCCCCTCTCCTCCCCAAGGAAGCCTATCTTTTGGTGATATATGTTGCAGAGAAGATACCTCCTTCTGTATGAAGTTAATGAAAAAACTAATCAAGATGAAAAAGTTAATTCCCGCAGGAAAATTAACACTGAAGATTTAATCAAAATAAGGAATGCAGTTCATGTCTAACAGCTAAACTTGTAAGAACAAGTAATGCTGGGGAAGGATAGACAAATCTTTTAAATTTTTAGACTGGGAGAAGATATAGCATGATCAAGAAAGAAGTCTTCCAGAATCATCTTCTATTCCAAGTTCCTGGTTATTCTTCCACCCTGCTAAATATACCTCGTAACTCTTCTCCTCTTTCCAATCTTGGGCATAAAAAAGGAGGTGACCATATATGACTCCTGATGGATTGCTAACTACAGTTAACCCCCAAACAAGCATAAGTTTAGACATGGGAAGGCAGCCAACATGACACAGAGTGGAAGGGAAACAGAACAGAATGCCTTTGTAACTGGCTTTTTTCCAATGGGAACGATGCATAGAATCTCAGTCCTGCACTCTACAAAATTATGTAATGAATCTACATGTGATTTATGAAAAAGTTATTTCCTACAAGGGTTTGCAGAAAACAAAGCCTTCGTGTTACAGTTAGATCATACCAAGGGTATCACTCTAAAAATCTGCCTAGGAGATAATCATATTTAAAGTAATTTTATGTAGATGTTTATTGGAGAAATGGTAACATTAGTTGACAAAGGATGGGGAATGGATGGGAGAAGCTAAACCATGAAATATATTGAAAAATAGAGTTAAATACTAGCATTGAGAAAATGGTGACTCTGTGAATAATAACAATGTTCCTCAAGACAGTGTTTCCAAACCTTGGCAACTTTAAGATTTGTGGACTTCAACTCCCAGAATTTTGGGAGTTCAAGTCCACACATCTTAAAGATGCCAAGGCTGAGAAACACTGCCTTAAGAGAAAAAAAAAATGCAAATGTTATACATTTTTCTGAGTGAGCTATGGAAGCTTTACCTCCAGGCATCACCAAGCCAACATCCTGCACTGTTAGAACAGAAAGCTTTTCTTCAGAATCCACTCTGATTACTCCATAAGTAAGCCCGTGCATGGACAGTACTCCCCTTCCTGGTGGTTGATTGCTGTCATCTGTTGGCCTGGAAATGTATGAAAAATGTCAGTGATACCTAAATGGGAAGAAACTCTCATTTCACATATGCCCAGCTTGAGAACGATTCCTAGTTTGAGTGCCATCTACAGCAACCATTGTCTTTCCTTGCTCCACCAGATCTAGCAGGAAGGGCATGATCTTACTCCCTTCTATTAAAAAATGTCATCTTGTTGGACTCCAGAATTGTGCTTTCTCTGTAGCAGCACCTGCCCTATTGAACAGTATCTCATGGGAGACCCAGATGGCCCCAATCCTGTTAACCTTTTGTAAGGCACTGAAGACCTGGTGTTCCTCCAGCCACTTGACCTGGATGGTTAGAAGAGCTCTAATGTTGGTTAACATTGTCTTTTATGAGTTGGGTTGTGCTTGTGGCTTCAGGCATTATGGGTTGTTGTTAAATTGTTGTTGTTTTAACCTCTGTACACTATCCAGATACTTTTGGGAGTAGCCATATAAATTGCTTAAATAAGTAATAAAACCTGATGTGTAATGATGCCTCTCAACAGGAATAGCCCTTCTTCCCAAATATTCTGTAATGTGCTTTTGTCATGACCAACCATGGCTCATAAGCTGGAGAGAAGCTAGGCCTTTGCGATCCATATTGTAATAATTTTTCAGACTCTAGTTGTTATCTACTGATATATTCTATTTGAAAAAAGCTAACACATGGAAAGTAGTGAGAGGAGATAGATCAATGAAGGTGGGTTCATGGATACATACAACCCCCCTTCCTGAAAAGCTTAGGGAGAGGCCTCTAAGTTTGCTATTGGATTGCAATGTTTAATGTGAGAAGTGCTATTAAATAACAGTTTAATAAGATGAATGTTATTAGGGAGTAGACACAAGGAATCATCACAGTTTACTTAAGTATTTCTAATTAAATATGCTCTTGTTCACTTTTGGTGTGCCATCCCTTAACATACCATTTATATCCTACACTACTGGCTTATGAAGGAGCTAGAAACCTTTCCACAATCACCCATGTTTCTGCTTTGCCAACAGGCTTTGAGCCAGTAGTTTTGATCAAAGTTCTTTGAATTATTCTGTTTCTGATCATAAGACATGAACATAGCCCAATCCTGGAATGATTTCTTCCATACACCTAGACAAAACTCTGAAGCTCAAAAGCATACAGGAGGAAATCCAATTATTTGTTTTAATGTAACGATTCTTCCACAGAAAGACTATATTTCATGACATAATCCATACCAAACATTGTTGCTAGTATGTACCTATGCCTTTGGCAGGTTGTCATAAAAAAAGTTTAGCTGTATGGTTAATCTTAAATTACAGTGTGGGTTCCCAGTGATGCTTGAAATACTGGATGGTAACCATATTAATTAAAGAGAGAGACAGAGACAGAATGACAGGCTCCATAAATTTTGATTAAAAGATTCTAAAAAGACTTTCACCCCTCCCAACATGATACCAGTAAAAGGATCAAGCACGCTAGCTATGGATTGGATTGAATGTACATTAAGGAGTAACAAATGAGAGGCAAGTAAATGGGTGGCAATGATTAATGGCACTCCCATCACTTTGGAGGAATGTTTCACCACAATATTGATCAACCTTTAATCCTCCACCTGTGCCTTGCTGCTTGTAAGATTATCTTGGAATCAGAAAACCCACCAGGTTAGGGATGGAACAAATTTACTGTGTTCCACCAACCTCTATGCATAACATTGATATAAGCAAGCTATAAGTATTAGGGCATAAATGTAATCTCATCAGAGGAAGTAAGTTTATGTTCAGCTTTCCTATGGGATACGTATATTGGGCTGATTACTGTAATATATTTTCAGTAGGAATCAATGTTATTGTAGTTATAAAAATGTATTGAATGGTGGAAAACTCTAGATTGCCACATATAATAGTATTCAAATATTTCAAAAGGACAAACACAGAATATTCTTGAATATTCAGCCGGCTGAAGCAAAGTTTAAAATTAAATTAATTAAAAATAGTTTGGGGTCATAGTTCAATAGACTATGCCTACAAACACCTTCAGGTTCAATTTCAGTCAGTGAGAACAATTCTGAACTAGAAGCACCAATGACTTCAATTTAAGCAGTTATCTTTATTACAGTAGCTGGTAACATCTGGCAAAGGTTTCATACCATTAGTAGCTGGTTATTGCATACAGATGTTACCGTGAGTTGAATGACATGTATCAACAGGAGACAATCTAGAAGTGGACAGTGCCTATCATATATGTACATTTGTTCTTTCTCCAAGGACTTGCATTTTTTCTTATCTATGTTTTGCTTGCAACACCTTTATGAGGTAGTTAAACCTGAGATACTGTGACTTGCCTGAGCTCATGCAATGGGCAGAGATCTGAATTTATGCTTTCCAAATGCCCTGTTCCATTCTCTTGACTGTGTGAATTTACCCATAAAGAGAGTACCACCAGTACTGATGTCTTCTCATATAGCTTTTATGCATGCTTTGCAACTAAAGCTATGAGACTTGTAGCTATTTTTCCACTGCCACAATGGGAAAACTTTATTACAAAAAAGAGCCAAAGAATGGAAGAACAGTATCAAATATCTGAGATGCTGGATAGCATTCAATGTAACAAAAATCTCTCCATGATCTTTTCAAACAAATCCAAGCATATTAGAATGACACAATCTTGCATTGATGCATTTCAACACTTTTAAAACGGCAAACTTTAAAAGTCAAAGCTGGCATAAAGAAAATTTGACACAATTATATAAATACAATTGGTCGACTTTATTTGTGGGAATTTCAATCTAACCTAATAACCACAGATAACAAAGTCATGTATATCAAGACCTGGAAAAACTGCACTTTATGCATGTGCAAAATGCCCATCTGCCATAAAATGCACAAGAAATGCTCCAAAAGTCCTTGCACCCCAAACAGACTCGTGAAATCTTTCACTGTATAGGTAGTCCTCACTTAATGACCATTTGTTCAGTAACTGTTCAAAGCTACAACAATGCTGAACGAATGGTAGTTACAACTGGTCCTCAAAGTTACAGCCATTGCAGCACTCCTGTGGTCATGTGATCAAAATCCGGGCACATGGCAGCCTGCCTGCATTTATGACTGCAGCGTGCTTTAATTCCCTCCACCTGCCTATCTCCCACCCATCTCTGCCCTTTTGGCTGTCCTGCACTCCACTGCCCCTGCCAGCTGCCCAGCTGACCTTCACCTTCTTCTTCCTCCTGCTGCTGAAGAGGTGTGCCTGGCTGAGGCAGCTGCTGCCCTTTGCGATGCCACACACCCTGCGCTCCGACATCCCTGCTGCCCCCGCAGCTGACCTTTGCCATCTTCTTCCTTCTGTGTCCTGGAGGCCTCACAAAGGGCCAGCAGCTGCCTTGGCCGGGTGCATCTCATCAACAGAAGGAAGAAGACGGTGAAGGACAGTTGGGGATGGGGGGCAGCAGTGGTAGGCAGTGGTGGAGTGCAGGGCAGCCCAAAGGGCAGAGATGAGGGGGAGATAGGTGAGTGGGGGGAGTTGAAGTGGAGACAAATGTAACAGGGTAGTGGAACTCTGTCTACCAAAGGGAGCTCGCCAGGCCTGGTTGGAGAGGAGGCAGTGGGAGGGAGCCAGCAGTTCGCACCTGGTAGGAGAAGTGGGAGGTCCTCACCTAACAACCACAACTGGGACTACCAGAACTGCCGTTGCTAAGTGGTGTGGTCACATGATGTTTCGCCTAGCGACCGCTTCGCTTAGCAACAGAAATTCTGGTCCCAAGTAGGGTTGTTAAGCGAGGACTACCCATAGATGAGATTTGGTCAGTATTTACCAACTGTGGATATGCAAAATGATGGCTAATAGAACTGTGGATAATGAGGACTGCCTGTATGGAACACAGCTATACTTCCAGTATATCTCAAGGAAAACAATAAATAAAGGGAGGGAGGGTGTTATTGCAAAAAAAAAAAGCAAGGATAATGCAAAGTTACCGATCTCAAGTTTAATGACAGATCTAATTATGAAGTGTTTTCCTATTTATTTCATTCTTAGATTATTGTTTCCATTAAATTTCACTACCTTCAAGATTGCACATTTATATTTGACTCATACAATACCTTCTAATTGCCACTGTGAGAGCCTCTGGTGAACTAGCACAAGGACAGATGACTTCTTGTCTTAGGCCTTTACTTTGGAAGACATTAAGAAATGCATCACATGAAGAAATAGACCCTGGAGTTAGAAAGTACACATAAATAATTTTAATTCAATATCATTCTATGTGCAATAATCAACAGTTCCTCAGAACAAAACAGAAATTCTAAATAGGTGGTTTCCAAGAGAGAAATCTAGATGCCAACCAAGCTAAACAAACAAACACACACACACACACACACACACACTACTGAGCAACTGCAAATAATTGACATATAGGTTGAAATCTATAGAAGTACCAAATTGGCTCCATGTGCTCAAAGACAGTTTCTAATATGCCAATCCTTCTCATTTAAATTGCTTTTCTGAAACTCACTGAGCATGCTTTTGCCCCCAAAAGCAGCTATAACAGCTCTTAACTGAAGCTGAACTATGCAGTCAAATTCTTTATATGCTGTCGAATAAAACTAGGAGCAGAACTGAATATTACTCTGGAAATTACACCTCTACTGCCGGATGTTATTTGCACTTGGTACATGGAGACAATTCTATTTCACGTAGAGCTTCATGAATGGCTTAAAAAAAGAAGTATTTGTATCTCCTCTGCTTCTAATGATCAAAACTCAATTTTCGTTTTGTACAAAGGCAGACATATCAAGGTACAAAATATATATATGATGTCCAACTGAATTCAAATATTTTCAAAAACGTTCGGCAGTTCTTAGTTACTATATCTTCCCCATACAATATGCTGGTTTTGAGTTTTACAGCCATAAATAGGTCCCTAAAGACCCACAGCATTTTATATGAATTAGTCTAATTACCCATTATCAATAGAGGATCTGCCCTGAGTTTTCCTGTGTTGGAAATTCTAAGGATAGCAACATGAAGAAGGTCCTCTCAGTGTTGAGACTAAGATGGTGAACTTCCTCCCTTGTTCCTTTATTACTTTTTCGGCACTATGTGAAAATCGTTTTTCTTTTGGAGCCCACTGGGGATTCAATCAATCTCGATTTAACTGTACATCTTGCTTTTGGCTCATGGTTTTGATCTGCTGCAAAAATTTATTTTGATATGATTTATACAAATATAAATCCCTTGAGTCTCCGGGATATTTAAAAATCCTAATAAAGTACATAATCAAAATACAAAAAGCAACTACTCAGGAAGCTGAAAGAGACACAGATTGGTATTTTGGACATACATTCTTCACAAGTGACAGAAGAACCTGCATGTAGTTTGCATTTTGCATGCATATACTTGAGCAAGGAAAGGAAACCACCTCCACCCCTGCCAAGTTTCAAGTGATTGGCTGAGAAACCTTCCAGTCTTTTCTACTCTTAAGGAGAAGTTTTATGTAACAGCTTGTCCAATTATATAGAACTAGACTGCTTCCGTTTGCACTACTGTAGAATATTGGATTTGCTTCAGGGTATTGCTAGAAAAATGAAAAGAATTTACAATGAACTTTGAAATGTAATCTTTTGGACGACTCTTTGCAGCAGAAAGAATAATTTTAAACTCTCATTTGAGAGAGAGAGAGAGAGAGAGAGAAAGGGAGAACAAGGGCCAGATATCTTAGGAATGGAAATATTAAGACTACAGACATACATCCTTGTTTAGTAGCTTCCATGACTGATGTTGACATAGAATGTCCAACAGCAAAGCCAACTGGATTGTATTTCTGTTCTACAATCATCACTTACATGGATTGGCGCCATCAGCCACTATCAGCATTCGAAGTGAGGAGAGGTTGATATCACGTTGATCTCTATGTGCTACTAATGCCCAGTGCATATCCCTAGATTTTACACAAGCCACTTTTGCTGAGGGATGTAGAGGAGAGAGAGAAAGAATGACATATAAACTCAGGCTTAATTCACTACACCATGCAATAAACAATCAGAAAGATATTTAAAATACAATTTTACTATTAAACATCTGCAATATATAAGGTACGGCCAACTGGCAGACAGATTGGATTTTAATTTGGACTTTCAGTTTTTATAGTATTACAAGCCAACTTTTCCCTGATTAGGCACAAAAAAGGAGCAGGAGAGATGACCTCTATATTGCCAGTTTAATATAATAAAGCCTACTCCCTTCCCTCAAAGCAGATTGATGCAGACCTCACTCTTACCTTTGTACTGGCACACCTTCTGTATCCATGAAAGTGGGTTCACTTTCATTAAGGAATATGGGATGCTTATCACATGCATCATGTTCATAACACTCTGAAATTAAATCAAGGAAATATAAGTGTCAGCAGCGAAGAAACAGCTATAATTCTTTGTTTAAGAGCTATATGTCTTGTCTAGCAAACAGAAGAAAGCTTTCCAAGTGAGTTCTTAAGAACAGGAAACGTGGTTGTAAAAGGATTATCCTATTTCAATAGCATGCCAATTTTCTTGATTTGGGGTTTATTTTTGGAATGTATAGGGTATCCCTAAAAAAACTATGAACAATAAAAAAACTATGCATCTGATCTTAAATGTAGAATACTATTCTCTGTGTGTGTGCGTGCGCGGAAAAACAAAATGTCTAATAACCCAAAAAAGTAATCTGAGAGGATTAATAGTAAATGTGAAGAAGACTGCAGAATAAAATAACTTAAAGAGAGGGGGGAATTTAAAGAGAAGGGGAAGGGAAGGAAAGGGAAAGGGAAGGAGAAGAGACAGACACAGAAAGGAAAGAGTGGGTTATCTCTTCACACAATGAAGCAAAAAAAGATATTTAGATGTTAAACATCTGCTTTGAGATGTTAAAAATACAGTGTCAACTCTAAAATTAAATGACAAGGGAAAAATAACGTTATGAAATTTTACCACCTTGTTTCTGCCAGCAGAAGTTTCCAAGAGAGTATTTTACAAATGCAAAATTATTTCAAAAGCAGTTACAAAATATTTTTCATTTTGCATTTAGGATGCGCAACATTTCAAAAATCTGAATCCTCATTACATAGCATGTCTCTCTCTATTTTTTAACTCTACACAATTCCTTCTCTCTCTTGATTCCTTTTTTCAAAAAGAAAACCGGGTCCAGCCCAAGCATTAAAATTGGGGGGGGGGGGAAATTGAGCAGAAAACAAGTTTACAAAGTACCTAGTTTGTAACTGTGTTTATTGAATTTCTAAAAAAAAGAACAAATGTCACCCCACTGGTACTAGATTTAATATTTTCTAATAAAAACACGGTTAACAATATTCAGTGTATATAAATAGCTTATCCAAAAACAAATCTATTATACTGTCACAAAAATGCTGTCATATAGTCTTATTTTTGTATTCATTTAGAGTACAAGGAATCTCCACCACGTATTTTTATAAATGCACAGCCACAAATCTCAGAGAAACTACCACAGCCACAAAATATATCTGGGAAAAGTCCTGAGATATCAGGGAGAAAAGCGAGCAAATTCTGACCAGCTGAAAACCTGTTAAAAAATAAAGAATCCTTATGTCATTTCCAATTCTGTACCCTGAAGAGGGACCAAATATTCCATACCCTGAAGAGAGACCAAATATTCTCTATTTTTCAAGTTGTCTTGGGCAATCCAGATACTTGTGGGGCTATTCTGAATAGTGATCTCAAGCATTTTTTCTCCATATGGCAACAAGTTCTGGCTGTCAGAGATGCTATCTTAAGAAGTTAAGAATGCTATACTGAAAACAAACAACACCATCTTTTCTCTCAGCGCTGTAAGAATAGCTTTTTGAGCTTTCTGCAGTTATCAGAGGAACACAACCTGGGTTATCGTATCTGTCAAATCGTATCTGTCAAAGTTCAGCTGGAGATCAAACAAGTGGTGACCCAGAGAGAGGAAGTTATGAAAGATGGAGGGATGAACAGACTTATCAGTTTTTGCTTTATTTTTAACCTGAGCACTAGAGTCTTGGTGGAAAAGAGTATTATTGGAGTTAGATAGTGATATGTGTCACAGCTTCAGGCATTTTTCTGAGCCGATAAAGCCTCTCTTTGACTGAGTTCACATATCTAAGATATGCCTTGTTTTAAGTACAATCTGTTGAATTAGCCAGAATGACTGGCTTTACATATATCAGTCAGTCCAAACCAAGATAACCACATTACGGCTTAGTATGTTGCGTGAACCAAACCTGGGACTTATTAAGCTAGGACTAATGTTTCCAAGTGGGCGTGTAAGGGCAGCTTTCTCCAACCTAGCAGATGTGTTGGACCAATTCCAGTAATCTGTAGACAGAGGCTGTTCCTGTTCTAGGGCCAAGAATGAGATTAAGAAAATGCTATTATTTTTTCCTTTAATATTCTCCAAATGTAAAGGCACATTCAGAGACTGAATGTCTCCAGTTGGAGGTAAATTGCTTGTCAACTTCCTAGGCTATCCATTATGGGAGAAGAAGCACTGGCTTGTAACACAAAGTTCTTCCAGTATGACTGTCTGCAACATTCAGTTCTATCTGCCAAGCTTCAAACCATCACTCTTCAATATTACAAAAGATGTGACATTTTGAGAGGATGCCAACTTCTGATGGAAATGTAAAATGTAACATCCCATTTTAAAGTAATTATTTAAAATAATGGTAGACTTACTGTAAGGATGCCATGCCATAAGCCCACATCTTTCTTGAAATCTAGTACGTTCACAATTGTTTCAGCTGCATGACAAAAACAATGTTAGTTCCTGAATGCCAGGTACAGCCAATCAAAAACTCCATTTTAAGATGTAATTGATTTAAAAAAAAAAAGTTTAAAAATAAAATATCTGCAGAACAATTTGAAGTAAATTAATACTGATTGCTCTTGGCCTATCTGTTGCTTCATTTCTCTTTCCCTCATTTTCATTTGCATAACATGTCACAGTTAATTATTCTTCTGAAAATAGGCGGAAAATGTTGAAAATAGAATAGGAAGTTCATCATTTCCAGAAAATAATGACTATTCCACCTACAGAGATTTCCTCAAGATATGTATTTGGGGACTAGGTAATACAAATCTCAGAGGCTTGTGAAGTTCATATTAATGAGAGATGAAAATTACAACTCTGAAGTTCTTCTCTGTCTTGGATGATAGTCTGAAGTTTGGAAAAATCCCATCCCACAGCTTTCTATCTTTTGGAACTCCTGACTTCCATCACAGCTCTATACTTGAATCCCGCTCCTCTTTGAATTAATCCTGGTGGTGTTTTGCAGCATGACAGGCACATCCAGCCTGAAGGGGGCCTGGTAATTGCGCAAAATGGGAAGAACCGTATCATGCTTATAAAAAGAGCCAGGATTTTCTGTTTCATTTCTCCCTGTTGATGCCATGGGAGGGTTGGATTTTCTTTTTAGGGGGTGAGGTAGGGTGTTGAACTATTTTAGAGCTTGCACTACAATTTCTCTTTGTTGTTCCCACCTGTAGTAAGAAGATGCTCCAAATGCTGCAAAAAAAAAAAAAAGTCCAAACGAGTTACTGTAACAAATACAGCTTTCTCCAAGGACTCTACAATTCTGGAATCAGTTGAATCAGTTTGGCTAAGAAAAAAATCAAATCAGTTTGGCTAAGAAATAAGCTGTGTTGCTTTCCAATTTTGGGGAGAAATAGCTTGGCTTCTGGCTATTGAATAATTGTCTGCATCCAATTATTCAAAACAAAACCCAATAAAATCTACCATGCTAGATCATTTTAAGAAGCTATTTTGGTAATTTTTTAAAAAGAGTTGAAATACCTTCCGTGTATCCGCACGCCTGGGTGAGTGCTTGACAATGGGTCAGTAACGCAATCCTTGTCACGGTCACGCCAAGAACACTTCCATCCTTACATGTTTTGTACTGCAGTAACACAATTTTGCTCATCAGTGTCAGTGAGGTCAATAAACTGAAGGAGACATATACCTGTCACCAATAGGGAAACAAGGGGAAGGTGCTCCACCCAGTCCTCAAACTCCAAATAATCCAAGGGGCCTTTCCTGGTTAGGTTCCTCACCCATTTCCCCTGGACAACAGAGGGTCCTGCAGTCTGATTTTTCTATCATTAGAAATAAATGTATTTTGTGCACCATAAAAAAACACTCTGACTGTGTATCTCAGATGCTTACTGGTGTCTACCATTCAGTATTAGGTCATCAACCAAAGCCACATGTCATTTAACAACCAAGCTTCCATGCTCGAACAGCCAGTTCCCTGTTTCTTTCCATTCACATCATCCTGCTAATTGTCTATACATCCCTGTCCTCCATTATCCTAGCTTCCTAAAGATCCAGACTAAACAGTTTAGGAAAAAAAAGACCCAACTCTCATATCAATATTTAGCTTGCTTTAGTGGTAGAGCAATCCTATTGAGGCCCCCTGATCAGTACAGGAATCCAAATTAAAGTATCTCCATTAGAAAGGTGTCTAGCTTCTGCTTGAACTCATCCAGTGAAAGGGAGCCTATTACTTCCCAAGGAAACAGTTCCCTTATCAAAGCTTTTTACTGTTAATAAGCTTTTTCCAACAAATTTTCGTCCTTTAAATTAAAACTACAGTTCCAGGTTCTGCATTATGACAAACAGTGAACAAATTCCAGCCTTCTTTTGGGTGCCACCCATATTTTAGGAGTCTATTTATAGTCCTCCTTCTGAATTCTCCTGTGGCCACTCTCTCTCAAGTAAAACCCTCTTTGTTGCCTGTCTCTGAACCTGTTTCAATTTTTTTCAAATTGGACATCACCCTCAAAATGGAGTCTGACCAGCACAGAAGGGGCTTGAACTATTGTCCCTCATGACTGGAAATCACTGTGATGGAAGCAATCTAAAATTACATTTGCCTTTTTTGCAGCAACATGGCAATCAAGCATATCCACTCTTCAGCAGCTCTTCAGACTCTAAGGGAAAAAAGGGGCTTGGAAGCACTTGGAGGCGTTCATGTAGTTCCTGTGGCCAACTCCTGAAAGCAGCCATGTAAGCGTTTGCCAGCTTAATGTAGGGTTTGATATTATACATTTATTTTTGTGCTCCTTTGCTTCAACCTTTGAAATAGAGGTGAATTAGAAGTCCACGTAAGCTAACAAGCATATTTAAAAAAAAAAAAGTCTTTGTTTTGTTTCTGAGGAATCATAAAGAGCCTATTTGGGCTAAAAGTAAAGTTGAATAATATCATCTCACTGACTTCTAGAAAGAACATCTGTCAGGAGCTGTCAAACTGTCTGATGATATAACATAGTTCCTGTGTTTCTATACACATCAGTACCGACCCCTTCTCTGTAAAAGTCTGCTGAGTGCTACTCTTTCAGCCACTGTATCCGTTTTCCTGATATTTAATTCATGAAAAATACTATGGTATGAAGTATTTGGTATCTTTCCTTGTTTATTTAAAACACTTCTATCCCATCTATCTTTTAGAGAGTTTTGCATATGGTATTGTACTCGGGAACTTTTCAAATTAGCTTTTGTTGAGAAGTTTCCACTGCTGTTTTAGAAAACTTCTGATTCAATAGATTTTGATTCAGTGGACTTCAGATACAGCAGACAAAATCTGAACATATATTTTATGCTTCTGTGCATGCTTAATCCCATTTGCCACTTTACATATATAGATGTGTAAAATCCCATTTGAATTTACAAGTCCTTCTCCCTTAAGGGACACTCCTTCGCATTCTTAAATCAAAGATTTACTGTATCATCTATAAATACAACAAGTTCAAATATGTAGTCACTGAAATGGCTTTCCATGTTGGTAAGATGATGTTCAAAAATTGAGGAGAAAAAACACCCTATGTAAATTTAGCTGAACTGAGATATCAAGTTTTTTGAAATTCCCCAAACAATTTTATATGAGTGTGCAGTTTGCTACATTTACATAGGAATGGAGCCACTGCATATATGCCATAAGATTTAATAAGTACATTATAATATGCTTCCTTAAAATGTGTAATACAGTTCTCATCTGGACCCAGGGTAACAGATGGAAATGATGCACATGTGTACATGAATGCACAAATATATTACACACTGAACTCACCTCAATGTAAGCTGTGTCATTGTTTGCATCTTTGATGTGGGGGAACCAATCTCGAGGAGGTTTCGAAAGGTGTTTTGATTCCGTCACAAACCATAGCAGCTTTGGCCAGCCTTAGAAACAAACATACAGCAACTCTTTTTAAAACAGTAGAAGCAATTATGGAATATTGTTGTCTACATTTGTTTAATAAAGGTGATTTATGCAAAGGGTTCTTTAGCAACTCAGAGAGCACACGAGATCAGAAAATGCTGGAACCATTACATACAAAATCAAATTCTTGATGAGCATCTCGGTATGAGAGCTTTGCCCCAGTTCCAAATTAGCACCGGAGGTGTTTGACCACACAAGACTGTTTTTGAGAGATGGCCAATATTTTTCCTGGCTTGCTGCATTTTATTTGAAACAGGAGCAAAGTTGGCTTTTTTGCCCTTTGAATCTTGCAGCTTTATAGGGTTTGTGGATGGTCTGTTTCACCCATTCTTCTCTCTCCTAGCCTCTCGGTTCCTGATGTCCACAGAGGGTCAACTACCTGTTCCTGCAGCCTCTCTGTCTCCCCTTCTCCTCATGCCTGGTTGCCAAGCAGCTGGCATGCCACTGTATCACTTTCAGAGGCTTTGAAAAGTGCCAGAGTGATAGTGTCAAGGCAATATGAATGCTTCCTTTTCCTTTTCTGTTTTATACACTTGACCTTCCTCCCATGGCATTCCCAGCACAAAACAGAATGGAATGGTTGCTAGCAAATTTTCTTTTCTGTTTTGCATAGCTGAGGGTAAGTGGATTTTGTTACTCCAGGACCCACGGTGGCTCAGGAGACAGGTGTAGACGGAATAACATTCTTTGCGCTCTTCTAATGATCAGCTGGAAGAAAAGCACTGATTGGTTCAATGTGAGCTCTGTGTTTCAACGTCCGTAGAAGCAAAGATGACTGTGAGTTGGTTTTAGTGAACTGTTCTACTTAGCCTTGTCCTTGTCAGGAGACCACAAGAGTCCAATGGGGCACTTCTCAGAGTACTGAGATGGCAAAGATGCCGAATTACAAGGAAGGACTCCACAAACCACCAAGTTAGGGACAGGCAAGATAGTCACAACTGATCCGAAAATTACACAGATTTAGAAGACATAACTTCAGACATCTTTTTGCTGTCACTAATTAGTACAATTCTCTACTTTTTCTCTTCATCAGGTAATGGACATGAAATCAGGGCACTTGGTGTTAACCTGCACAAACCTACCTTTAAACTGTGGTATTTCCCCTGTAGGGCTTTTAGGTAGTCCTTTATGGCATGCATCACTAGTCAAGGCCACAGTGACACCGCAGCTTCCAAGCAAGAAGCCGATCTGTTGGCTACCTGCATCCTAATTGAAGAAAAAGCAAGGGGAAAAAAGCTTATAAGTGAATCAATGCAAGAGCAGTAATGAAAACTCTCCTTTAAAATACATCTCAGCTAACAGCATTTGCTTTACTTAGTCAACTAAATGTTTTTAAAGACATCTATTATGTTTTGATCAAGGCCCTTGGCTTTCAGTGCTTCAGCACTTTTTAAAGAACATTTTTTGGTAAAATATTTCGTACAGAGAATTGCACCTTTCTTTAAAAAACAAAAATCAAACCATGAAGACCCCAACATTTCCAGTCCGTGAAACTACCACTTGACATTTTGTGGGTAATTTGTGGCATTTGTGGCAGGGAGAAGAAAAGCAGAACATTGCCCAGTTCAAGAACCCGAATCATGTATAGGCACAAAGCAATCCACAAACTGGATAGGCAGTTCTTTTTCCTCATCTATAAAAAGTAAGCATTAGATTCCAAACAAGGAAAGCCAGCAGACTGCATTAACTGGGTGTGGAATCCATTGCCAGAGGATGTGGTGATGACTTCTAAGTTAGATAATCCAAAGGAAAAGAAAAAAAAAATATGGAAAAGAGATCTAACAGCCACGATGACCATGATGTTCAGCAAACTATGTCAGAAAACAAAAGGAGGGACATGCAATGATAGACACCAGTTATATTAATGACCTGACTACATGCCTTCCAGATATATTAGGCTGACCAGATGTTTTAGATTCTGTGGCAGTGTTTGCATCTCACTGAACCATAAACTAATTGTATTAGCTGGGTTCATACAACACATTAAGCCACAAACTACCCAACAACATTTTAGCCCAACGTTTTCTGTATATCCAGCTGTTGCCTTGTCTCACCACTTTCACTTACAGAGTTCCTTCTGAATTTGGATTATCCCAACAGGACTAGGGGAGAGTTGAATTCTTTGAAACCCCAAGCAAAAATCAACAAAATAACGGCAGCCATAGCATTTTTTCTTTTTATTTCATTTAATTTTTCCTCTTCTACCTTTCCTCACTGAAGCTAACAAAGAATTTATAGCTTGGAGAACACTAGTTAGAAAAGGCAATGACCCTACATCAACAGTATTCAGTTTCCCCATTTCAATGTGGCCAAGTCACAGGTAGTCAACAAGATAAAAACAGCTCAAAATATGCAAGTGAAGTCCATCACTATACCCCAGTATCTGTTCAAGGGGCACCAGACGATAGCCAGACACCACATTTTTCAAAACAGAATAGATAATTTTGTAGCAAGAAATAGACTTTCAGCACATTACAAAGACATTAAGCACTGGAAATCTGAAGCAAACAAAAAGCAGGAATGGGGATTTTGTGGCTACCAAGATAGTAAAAGAAAGGCCTTGAGACATAGATCTGTTTTCTCCAACAGGTCAAATTCAAGTTTGTTTTTGTTTTTTTAATGCACAGTTAAAAGTTGTTAAAAAGCTAGCAGTTCTAGGTGAAAGACATGCATTACTGTCCCCCACCCTCAAAGCCTAGCATCAACCTCTCTACAGTCAGATTTTTAAAAATAGTATTTAATTATACAGTTGGGTTTGTATATGCTGATTTTTAAAGATATGTTGGGATGAGATACTGGTTTATAACAGATTTGTATAACCATTTCAAAGTTCAGGTACCCAACAAATTATATTTATTCGCATTTTCTTATGATTAAAGTAATTATGAGATATGTATTTCCAGCTTGGCAAAGTTAAAGACATACTTTTGCAAGAAAAGTCTTCAGAAATGAGCTCTCATTTGGTTTGGCTTCTATGAAAATCCAGACAGAAGGAGGAGTCCCCTTTTTAAGATAAATAGAAAGAGACAAGAGGATGAAATCATGCCAGTTTGGGGAAAAATTCTGTGCATGCTGTGCTATCAGTAGCCCAAGGAGATTCACAACTAGCCAGGCCCTAAAAAATTTACAAAGTTTAAAAGGCATTAATCAAAGTTGGCATAAATATTAAAATGCATCCTACATTAGCTTAGGAATGACAGCAATAGTCTACCACTTTTATCCATTGGTAGAATCCTGAAAATGTAGGGTATTTGGGGGGGGGGGTTGCTTTCTTTACTGTGACTAGATCTAGCTGACAGATCTCATCATTTTCAAATCATGTCAGTGGTTACTTAGACCCAGATTACTCACTTTGACCCTGAATAGCAGCATTCCTGGGTTGACAGTCACTACAATCTTCAGCTTCCATATCAAGGTTTTTCTAACACCCCAAAGCAAGTTAGAACACAACTACTGCCCAAAGATAATGACCGAATAGGGACTTCATCTATCTTTCAACCAAGAAGTAATCAGCAGGGCTAACTCAATATTCCATCTCAGCTACAAAGACTGGAGGGGAGGCTAGAAGGGTGTGGCCAAGAAGATAACACATATATCGAGAGAGCTTAGTTCAAAGGACATGGTGCACGTGCTTTCTTTTTATAGCTTGATGTGAAAAGGAAATAAACATGCAGAAACAAGACAAAGAAAGGTGTATGTGCACAAAATAATATTTCTTAGCCCAAGATATACCCAACAGTCTTCTTTGGGTTCAGTTTAACCCTTTGTATCCTAAAATCTGGAGTGCATAGTATAGTGTAAATATGTATGCATGCCTAATAAATAATATGTTGCACAGCACAGTTTTTCATTCCTCGTTTGTTTTCTACATGTTTCTCAAAAAAGCAGTCTAGCAAACCTGCATGAACGGGCTGCCAACAGACATTGCAAAAAATATTTTGGAAACCGTGGCAAACCTCAGAAATTCAAGGCGTGGGTTTCCATTTCCTTGCCAGTATTTTGACAGTTACTCAGGTGCTGGCCAGGTTGTAACTACAAAGAAAGAGAAGTCCCCCCCACACACACTTTATTGCTTTGTCAACAGAGTTTCTCTGCCTCACAGAGCTTTTGTAATAGGAGTCTGGGCAACTACGAGAGAGAAAGAGTGTTTGATGTCCCTGAAAACTAACAAATGCAGCGAATGTTGCTGTGTCTGTCATATTTTGAGAGAAAAGATGGAAAGAGGGGGGAAGAGATAAAGGCTAAAAGAAGAACTCCCTTGGGGAAAAAATAGTAAGAGTGATTTTTCTAAAATGTAGTTGTATGTCTCTTTTGGAATGTTATCCTTCCAAAAAATTATAGAAGTTTATCTTTTTAAAACAAGAAAACACACACACACACACACACACAGTCCTGAAGTACTCCATCTAAAAGTTCTCATCATCTTCTACATAGCTGCTTGTGTATCACACATATGTAAGGGTTCTTGTCCTATGAAGCCCTTACTCTTGGACCAGCGAGATGAAGTCGTGGGAACTTCATTGTCATCACTACCTAGGAAAGGACCCGTCCAAAGAGAAGAACATAATGCAAAAAGATAATGCCTGAGCTCCTTTAACATGCCTACTCTAAAGACTTTGCATGTCACTTATTTCGGACATGCTAGGTAGCAATACAAGAGAAGAGTCTTTCAAAACCTGCTTGAATCTTGCCTGCTTTCTTACGATCTGACATGAGAAAACCAATATACATTGAAAGTCCTGTGGGCAGAATAAACCAGGGTTTCTCAACCTTGACAACTTGAAGACG